CCTCTGTACTCAGGGTAGATGGGCAACTTAGACATTGGCTACCTAAAATGAGGGAGCGATAAAGCCACGAAATGACTGGCTTACAAGGTTACAAGGGGGAGCTTAGTTTAATAGTGTGTGGAGAAAGAAAGAGTCTCCACTGTATAGTTTTCATCTAGTCTTTATGAGTCTGGTTAAAAGAGATGAGGATAAGATTCTTATGATTCAATAATGAGTAATTGTTATAATGACTAAATGCAACTCTCACAATTGTAAAGGTAGAAGTTTTGTAACAAAAACAGGGGAGTGGTTAATCAAAGTTAATCAAGGGAGAAGAGCACAAGCCGAGTGCGGGACCTTATCCAGAGAAGCAGTGACACCAGAGATGGAGGCAGAGTTGGGGATGTGGAGTGAGGGAGCAGCTGAGGACTCTAGATTCATGAGAAGAGAGGGACTAAGAGATGGAGGCCAGGAGGCAGACTTGCAGAATGTGCCCTTTGGTGGTATAAATTATTATATATGCATGAGTGTTTAAAAAAAAAACCTGAAGTGAATAGGGAGGAATACTGTTAACTGATGGTACATGGAGGGGATTATAATCATTGTAATGAAACAAGGTGTATGATTTATTGAATGTAAAACTGATGATCTGCCCTGTAAACTTTTACTCAATCCACAATAAAAACCTTAAAAAAAAATAAAATAAAATTATGCATTGACCAAAACATTATTTAAAGCATAAAAGAAGCAAAAATAAATAAATAAATAAAAATTTCAGGAATTGCATTATCTGCAAAATAGTTCCAAAAGATATTTATCAGTTAACTGAATAATGCATTAATATATAGAACTCTAAAACTGTATGTATGAATTGGCAGTAAGAATGGAATCATTTAAATATAGAATTAATTTAAATTAACAGGCAAATATGGTAATAGAAATTGAAAAATATCAAATTTACTTAAAGCGAATATATATAACAAAAGAAAATAATAATAAATACAGGCAGAGATCCTAGATAAGACTAACAAACATGTAAAAGCTTGGTAATTTTAGGAGTTTATAAAGGAGGAATTCATTGCTGCAGTTTCATTTTAGAATTGCTAATGTGGGAATGAGTATCTTTTTTCAGAATTATTATAATCCTGTTATTGTATTTGGGTGATCTTTCTTTTTTTCTTTTTACTACTTCCTAAAGTGAGTCGG